GAAGAATACAGAGAAAACAAAGAGAAAGAAAAGTAGTAGCACTAGTTGAGAAAAGAAAATGTCTTTGCTGACTGCTCACACTGGCTTTGCACACTGCTGCTTTAAATCCACTCTCTGTTGTCTTGTAAACCTAGCAATTAAGAGATTTCTCCCAAACAAATATGATCTTCAGCAGAAAAGTAATAAAGCAGGCACAGATACATTTTACTGTTCAATTACCTTCTGAAACTGTTTTCATAATATGAAGAAAACACATTAAGAGACTTCTTGTTTCTGCTTGATCTAATTTGTCAAAACGAAGAGCTGATCCAATCAGAGACAATGGCCTTACAATCTGTTGTAGCAAAACATGGAGAGCCTCGATAAATGAATTTTACCTCCAAAATGCACTTTATATATATCACTTTGGTTTTATATATATATATATATCAGTTTGGTCTAGAGCAGACATGTCAAACACAAGGCCCGGGGGACGGATGCGGCCCGCGAAGTAGTTTCATGTGGCCCACGAAGCCATTCTGGAAACAGTGAGGGAACGGCCCCTTCTGCCTTGGCCTTGGCCCTGGCCCAGGCCAGCCGGGAGCCAATGTACAATTTTGTGGTGGCCATCTATGCTGAAATGCATTCAGTCTTAGCTCCACAAGGCCATCTGGAAACAGCGAGGAACCAGTCCCTGCCGCGTCGGCCCCACCCCCTGGGTGCATGCTGGGGAGGTGTCACCCTTTGTGAGGAATGAAGAAATGCACCATCGCCTAAAAGTGGCCAGCAAATGGCCCTTGCCTACTTCACATATCTGGCTTGATGGGCTCTGGAGGAGGGGTTTCAGCAGGCAGTGGGGCAAATGATGTAGAGCTGGCCATATCCACCCAGTAGACCACACTCACTCCATCCACGCCCACCCAGTAGGCCGCACCCATCCTGGCCACACCCACCCGGCCCCCCAAGGGCAACCGCAATGCTGATGCAGCCCTCAATGAAATTGAGTTTGACACCCCTGGTCTAGAGGTTAAGGCACCAGGCTAGAAACCTGGAGACTGTGAGTTCTAGTCCTGCCTTAGGAAATGAAAGCCAGCTGAATGACTTTAGGCCAGTCACTCTCTTTCAACCCAACTCACCTCACAAGGTATTGTTGTGAAAAAAATAGAAAGAGGAGGAATATACGCTTGCTGCCTTAAGTATTTATAAAATAAAGGTGGGATATAAATAAATAAAATAAAAAACGTAAAATAAAATAATTGTAGCATCATGTGAACCAGAGGCAGCTGCATTAGAAAGTTGCCGTCAAGTGCTGCATGAACGGCTCCACATGCTCTGAATCATCTTTCCCCATTAAAATCTGAAGTATTATGCTGTCCTAATTTATAGACATACATACCTTCTCACAGGCTTCATTTATTTCACTGTTCTTTTCATTGGTACTTGGGTTAGAGTCAAGACTTCCAAGGGAACCTCTGGAGTCAGCACGGTTTGCTGCAGGAATAACTATTGATGAAAAAGCTGGAAACAAAAGCCACAACGAATGTGCTAAAATGATGCTTATGGACACGACAATTAAGCAGGATGAACACCAAAAAACAGTATGTAACATTGACCAGACACTGTTAAGAAAAGCTACACTTCAGTTAATGAGGATGCTGGATGGTTATGAGCTAAGTGCATGAAACAGAGTAAGATATAACGACAAATGCAATGATACATATTTTGCTATAGATGGCGTTAGACACAATCTCATACATGATGGACCAAAAGCCATAGAAGTAGAAACATTTATTGAGGATGCAATTAGTATTACATCTTGAAATGCAACTGAACAGTATACAGTACAAACTTTACTCTACTAATGAACTTTGTGAACTTTTGTGATACAAACAAATCTGTCTATACCCCAAAGTTGGGAGAAGGCAGGAAAGGTCCAGCTTCCAGTACTTATACAGGTATCCAGAAACCAATCCTCTTTTATCCTCTCCCAACTTCCACCACATTCCCTCCTGTCACCATCCAAAGCCCACTGAACCACTTTTCCAGGAAGGTGGAAAAATGGACTGTTTCAACTCTGGAGGATGAGTCTACAACATTACTGTCAGGTTTTACAATGCCATAATCCATTCACTGAACATGTTTTTTTTATACTTGGTGGACTCACAAACAAAATAGGCTTACAACAGACTTTTGGAACCTAATCTGCTTTTAAGTAGAGTACTGTCTTATTTGTATTCTATAAATTGGGTTAGATTTTGTACACATATACATCTGTGTGCACATCTAAAATACTGATATCCTATCATTTAGTAGAAAGTCTCTTACAACTAATACGAGGACAATGAAATCAAATTATAAAAATGCTGTAGGAATAGTATATATAAATGAATGATTGCTGTGCTAGTTCAAGGGAGATCACATTTCTTTTCTTTTCATTTTCTTTTCTAGTTATAACATTTTTAAAAATTAAACTTAACATGTCTTCCCTACTCTCTTCTAAGAAGAATTTATTTCAGATTACACTCTTGCTAGAAATATTAGAAGATAATTTAAATGTAAGAAATTGGTAATAATAAAACTTGCAATAGAACAAAACAGATAGTTATTTTTATGTAAATGCTTTCATACCTGCAATTGAATTAAGAACATCTTTGGAGAAAGAAGTATCAACTGAATTTGCATGTTTCATTGTTGTCTGACTCTGAAATCCTACAGTGGTGCTCAAATCATCTCTAGATCCCTGGATTTCAATGACAGCCAGAGAACAAATGTGAGTATTAAATCAATGTTCAAAATCTGTCACTTATTGCTAGTTTTATAATTACATACCCACTGCTTTGACATTGGCATAGAATCACAGTTTTTGCCTTTTGCAGCCTAACAACAAGATTTGTTCTCTTAACCATCATCACCACCACACATTAATCTATTTCTGCTTGATCTAATTTATCAAATTTAATAAATTTCTTTTCCAAAACAAATTAATTTAAGAAAATATTCTCCCTCCATGCCTTCCTATAATTCTAAACCAATCTTAAGGTGGTAATCTTAATGTATCAGGTAAGGAAAGGCAGATTTTTAGTGAATCAATAAGGGAGACAACTTTAGTTGCAGATGGGAGACCAATACTGAAACTAACCTGTTTATGGCCACCTAGTAAGCTTGTAAGTGATAAGAAGTTCAAACTGGGTATTCTTTGTCTCAAAATTATTAATTACAATGGATTTATTTTAGGTATGCTTTTAATCTGAATCTATGGATTTTTTTTCCTTCATAGACAATAAGTCCAGCAGTATACCTAATTCAAGTGACTTTAAACTAATATGCTTTTATCATACTCTATTTACTGATAAATTAATCTAAACTAATCTAGTCTAAGAATAATTAAAAAATGTTAGCAGTATAGGTTTAAGAAAAATTAAATTACTATGGCCCATTACTGGAACCCACCTGATTAGATGTATTTATATTGAATAAAAACATATCTTTCAGATATATCCTTGGCATATTGTCCAAAAGCATCCCATAAAGAGGCATATACAAGGTTGCTATTTTTGCCTGCTTCTCCTGCAGAAAAGACATTCAAAGAAGATGGCTCAGTACAGACGACTGAATGGTCTATTCCATCAAGGTAAAAAGTTAAACATTCATACCGGATCGCTATATCGATCATCAAATGAATGTTTTGCCATCAGATTTTTGAGCATGGCTAGGGCCATGTGTCTGATATCCTGGTCTTCTTGGAGTGCGAACCCAACCTCTCGAAGAAGTAATCCAATTAAAAAATGCTTCCGGCAAAATTCATTTGTCACAATATATTCAGGAACATCTGGATTAAGACAGTCAAGAAAGTTGTGTGTTTAAAACTTGCCATATATGTGCTTCATTAAATTATTCATTAAATTATTGACATATATTAAGAAGAGACATATAATTAATTGAGATTTAAATGATTCAAGTAACAAATTTTAGAAAGACAATTACACTCTTGTAGAACTCATTGTTTTAATTGGTAAGTCTGCTAATGTTAAGTTATAAATCAGTAGTAACTTTTGTTAATCTGTACCTGATGTATTATAGTAATATTTTCTTTAGTAGTTGGCAAGGGGAAGTAGATTTTGAACTTATTGCTGAGTGAGAAAGTATAGTTCAGAGAACTTTAGCTGCCTAAAAATAACAACAACTGTAAGTTTTCTATTCTTCTTTTAGAGAACCTTCAATTAATGTGATGTATATTATTACTCCAAACATGTCTGCCAGTCAAAGTTGTGGAAGAATGATTACACTTCAAACGGGTTCACTGCAGAGTAGTAGATAATTTTTAAAATGCTAGAAATGGAATTTGATAATGCCACATTTAATAACTAAGACGCAAAATGTACTTGGATGAATGCATACCTGATGCATGAAACTGCTGGGTTGTTTCTGATGGTGTGATTGGATCTTGAATGGTTTGGTAGAAATATGTAGAAAAGGGAAGAAAAAAAAGACATGTTGGTACATTTAGATAAATGACATTGTTAATTGTAAAGGTATAATTTTACAGTTGTCATATTCATCCATCCACGTTTCTTAAAATACATACTGATCAGAAATAGTATTTTTAGATTGGCTATTTTGAGATCAGCTCCAATCATTCTGGATGCTGAGCTTTTTTAAAGGATGGGATTATTTTATCTTTCTATGGACATTGCACAGTGGTCTGTGTGAAACTGGTAGTGTAAAAGTATTATAAATAAAGCAAACAAATACTTAAGACTCAACAGGACCACTGAAATAATCCTTCCCTGTTAATCTAGGTAGGGACAAATGATACTGCAGAGAGCTATTACAAGCATATCAGTGTGAACACTGAAAGTCTAGGAAGGACCCGCTTCCAGGCCATGGAAGGAATTTGGAAAGAGAAACAAGTATATTGTAAGTAACTATTCGAAATACAATCATAAATACAAATATAAATGGTGACAGTGGGAGACCATTTCTATCCATGCTCTAAATTAATTGAATTGTTAACTAAACCAGGGGTCCCCAACCTTGTCGACTTTAAGATTTGTGGACTTCAACTCCCAGAATTCCTCAGCCAACTTTGCTGACTGAGGTATTCTGGAAGTTGAAGTCCACAAGTCTTAAAGTTGCCAAGGTTGGGGACCCTGATAAACAATTAACTAAAGTGTTGGCATGGAATCAGCTGCACATCAAAGAACTAGTAAAAATATGTTTAGCAAAAGTATGGTGGACTTCATCTATAGCATCTTAAACTGAATCTGAAGGGACTGTGTGGCAAAAAAATGGAAGAAGAACCACACATAGAGACTTATGCATAGAGAAGAAACAGAGGGTATTGTAATTGGACAAAGTAAACCAAGAATGAAAAATCAGAAAGAATATTTGGTCTTAAAGTTCACACCCATTCTCCTTTCTGCTCATGACAGAAAATAAGATTAATGACTTAAGAAGAATGAAGACCAGTTGAGATAGCTATAATAACTGAAAATTAGCTGCCTTACTGAAAAGAACATTTGGATTAAACATGTGGAAAATCAAATAAATTGATTTATTGACTAATATTGCTCACCCAACCATGAGGAAGATAAGGATGAGGCTTCTTTAAAACAAATTGCAAATATTTTTAAGAGGCCTAAAGTAAAAGTAGTAATGACTTTATTGATTATAAGCATTTGCATGCCACAATTCCTGGTGGTTTACACCATAAGCCAAAGCAAAGTAAATATAAATATAAAGCAGCTGAAGTAAAGAAACCAATTTCTGAATAGTGGCCCAACTCACCATTAACTGCCACCTAATAAAACAATTTTATAGATTTGTAGAAAGTTAATGAGAAGAAGATGAGACCAATAGACAATTAATCAGTGGGATGAGTTGCTCCAGAAGTTGCTCCAACACTGGAGATTTTAAGAAGAAATTGGGAACCATTTGTTTGAAATGGTACAGGGCTTCCTGGCTCAGCAGGGGGTTGGACTAGAAGACCTCCAAGGTCCCTTCTAACTCTGTTATTCTGTTAACCACTGCATCCAGCACAGAGAAAGTTTCTCCTCTTTTAAATCTAAGGTCCCTCATTCATTTGATTGGAAAGAGAAAAATTTTAGTAATGAAATGTAAAGTTTTCAATTTCAAACTACCTTTTATTTTGGTGCTATAAAAATGTTGTTCGGCAATTTTTAAATTCATGATTCATAATTCATGCATTTTTGCTGGGTTTTTTTAAAAAACCCTAAAAAAAGAATAACTTAGTTACTAAAATAACATTTACTTATATTTACAATTGTAGTAACCAATATTCAATTTTTTTTAGGAAATGTGAAATTTGCATGCCAACCTTAAATGTATTTATAGAATACAAAACCCTAATATTTTTGTGAGATTTATTACTAAGTATATATGCTTAAAATTTTATGCAGTTTCTTTTGTTTTATAATAAATATTACTGTATATAAAACCATAAATGCTTACCTGGAATGTTTGCAGACTTCAGGGGTAGGCAGAGAGGAATGAAGTGTTCATAGTTACATACTTCTTCAAGAAAATCAAATTTATACTGGAACAAAATCTGAAAGTTTGAGATGATTATCAGATGATTTATCTTCATTTATTGCATGCATGTACATTCATTAATCTATCTGCATAATTACATGAAATATTGGTTATGCAGGTTAATGAATGTACATATTTATTTATATCAGCGTGAAAGTATTTTTTTCATATAAGAGGAAAAAATGTTTTTAAAAAAAAAATTATACAGTTGATTGTAGCAATATTAAACTAATAAAGGGAAAGGGAATCAAATAGATAAATAATCGCTTAGATTAATTTGAATAAGAAATGCATGCTTTTCTTCACTAAAGGGCTGCTAAATGTGCAAGCAACAAACAAATTCCAATGAAGAGATCCACATTTTCACTGAGAAACATATAATTTGATAGACTGATTTTTTATTTTTTGTAAGGGCATAACTAAACAAAATCAGCTGCGCATTATGGGGAAGCAGTATATTACAAAGATTTTTTTTTCTGTTAACTACTTTGTAAAGTGATAAAAAAACTTTTATCCAACAAAAGGAAACAAATATTCTGAGAAAACCTATTCTTTTTTACTGATTCTGACAATTTTTAAAGTAAAAGGAGAAGTCAGCATAATTGGAAACATACATTACTTTATTTACCTTGTCATCACCTGGTCCAAACATGCTTATATAGTTATTGATTAATTTAAATACAAATCCACGATCCATAAATGTGAAACATCGCTAAGAGAAAAAAAATGAAATGATTATAATTATTTCCCTAAGAAAAGACTTTTAATAATAGAAAAAAGTTAATAAGGGATTAATATCATCCTGGCAAACTGGCAATAAATCATGAAGATCAAATGTGAACGTCAAATACTCAACTCAATAGTTTTTTGATTAATCTAAATGTCAATTTATATCAGTGGCAATATGAAATTAAAAGATTTTGTATTGTTTTGAATAAATAACCGGTGTAAAGCATACCTTCTAGAAAACTTACTGAAGATGTAAATATGTTCAAATAAAACAGTTCCTATTTGTGAAAAACAAGTTGTATTTCTTAAATTTTTGGCTATTAAATGCATTCTTCCCTTCTGCAAATCTAAAAATTGAATAGCAATCCTTTATTAATTAACAATGTTGTAGTTTTTTAATAAAGAGTTATCTTCTTTATTATAAAGAGGGTGACTACTGTATATTCTTTTTTGGTGAAAAAGTATTCAAATGTTTCTTCTTTTATTTTGGTTATGAACTTTCATCACTGCCATGCCCAGTCTTCATCAGTGTAGAAGAATCACATAATTAATGTTTTGTGTTATGCCAACAGCAAAAAGAAATATTTACTGTGAAAATGATTGCAAGGTTTGTGCATCCTGCAAGGTACAAATAGGTTAATGGTTATTTATACTAAATTCACCTTACCTTCAGAAACCTTCCAACGCTGTGGCTTGCATTCTTTGTCTCTTCAAAAGCTTCTCTGTGTTTCCAAATAACATGATCTGATATGTTCATTACAAGTTTATCTAGTTCAGTTTTGTATGATTCTGGAAACCTCTGAGCACGAGTAATCTGGTGGGACAGCAGATGGCTTCTTCAAAATAAGAAACTGATCTAGACAACGCTCAATATTTGAAAATGTTTCATTTCCCTCTCTACACAATGAAATTGGAGGAGTTAGTGAAAATGCTCCTGACTAAGTGATAAGAGGCATCATTCTGATGAACAGTTTAATGATGATGGCATTTATTTATTCAGAAAATGTATTTGGCACTTAACGTCTTAATGGCACTGGATGCTTACAAAGTATAGTGATAACATTCAACTAAGCCTCAATTAAAATGTTACCATTAAAACCAGACGTAGGAAAATAAATGCAATTTGAGAAATGTCTTAATACGGTATGTAGCCAGGGGATCAATTTCAATTCCAGTGGCAATTTCTTTCAAGGCTACATCATGGGGAAAGCCAAATCACTATTGAAATGATTAATTGGTGACCTAAAGTGCTGCACAGATTGTATGAGATAGGCAGCCTTATAAACAGTTGTTCTAAATTTTATTTTGAGATCTTTAGGTCCAATACTGTTCAGAACAAATTTCTTGTACGGATAAATTGCAGTGATGTAACTGCAGAAGCATTTATTAACAATAACCAGCTGCAGAAACTTTCCCCTCTCTTCAGACCCTCTGTGCTTGCACCATGTTGGTCACTCGCACATTCCATACACCCTCCATGTCATTGCTGTCATGCATACCTTCCCAACATGCACTGCACTTTTGCACACACACGCCATACCATACTCTACTGCACCCCCTCACACCGGCCTTTGGATGAGTAAAATATTTTAAAATAAGAACATGTTTAAATATTGATAACATTTATTATATAATGCATATAGCATGGAGTCTTACCTGTACTCTCTTTGTATAAACCAAATGCTGTGCCATTGATTTTAATATAATTGCAAAAAAGAACCAGGTGTGCTAAAATAAATAAATAAATATATATTATTTTTCTTTTATATTAACTTTGCACTTTTTTTTTTTTTTACAAAAAGCTCCCCAAAAGTGAGCTTTTCCATATGTGCTGTGACTACCGTTTCTATAAAACCTAAGCAATGTGGCTAAAATTTTCTAGAGGTGTATTTCCCAAATATTTGGAAGGCATAAGATTAGACAAGAAAGAACTGAATTCTAATATATGGAGAAACCTGGGCCACTTCTGGATAGACTCTCTGTAATTAGATACAGTAATTTATAACTATTGCTTTTTTACTTCTACAAGTAGTCTTGAAAAGCTGCTTCTCTGGTCTTGAAGAACCCACCAGAATAGCTTGGCAATGGCAAGGGACTAAGTGAGGAATTAATAAATTCATTGTTTCTCTTTTTCCAATTGGAATTTATATATCAATCTCATTTAACTCTTAAAAACTAAGAAGTCCATCCATATGTGAAACAGAAAATCTGAATTCAATTTATGAAATTCTTTACTCAGACAAAACCAAACCATTCTTCTCTCTGCACTTTAGTGCTGAATTGGTAACCATTTATAAGGAACATCCCTTATCAATCTGTTAGCAAGGAGTTGCAGGACTGTGATGCATTTGCCAATGTAGGTGCCCTTCAGCAACATCACCATATTCTTGCTTTTAAGTCCTAATATTTCAGTTCAGGCTCTCATATTAACTTCTTAACTGTTCTGCTAAGCAATGCTTTCCCCAAGCTACAGGGACAACAAAGTGACATTATAACATAAGAACATATAGCAAAACAGAGTCAGTTTAATGTAGTGAATAAGGTACCAAGCTAGAAAGCAGAGACCGTGAGTTTTAATCCTATGTGAAGCACAAAGCCAGCTGAGTGACCTTCGGCCAGTCTCTCAACCCTGGGAATGAAGCATTGACAAAATATTCCCCCCCTTAAAAAAAAATGCCTTGAAAACTCCAAAGACTAGTCCAGGTAGTCACCAGGAGTCAAAAACTAACACAAAGGAACAACAACAACAACAACAACAAAAAGTGAGAAAAGCAACAATCTATGAAAGCTTTCCTGACATTTTTTGCTCATGAATAAGAATAAATTTCACCTTCAGAACAAGCTTCACAGTCCTTTGATCATTTGACTGCAACAGATCAGTCATACTCTTGGCCAGTTCTTCATGAACAGTCCGTTCTTCAAATGTCTTAGTTTTGAATACATACTAAAAGTACAATATAAAATGCAGGAAAAAAGTTAATAGCAAGAATATTAGGTCTCACTGACTCCATGCAACACAGATACTGTAATTTACATTGTATGGTACCTGACAGTTATAGAGCCGATGCAATGAAAATATTTATGATGCAAGACTATTAATCTTTTGCATCTAGCCTTCTATTGATTTGAATGCAATGAAATTAAGGAACTATAGTTTGCATGCAATCTTCTACTTGACCATTCAGAAGTACATCTCTTTAAGAATAATGAACTCATTCCCAAGTCTGCATCACTTGCCTGAAAATAGGTCCTTCTGAATTCAGTGAGATATATTTCTGATTAAATAAGTACGAGATTGTGTTATGAGCTTTTCACATTATGCAGAAAGGTGCGGTGTATACCAGAATCAAAAAATATATCTCAGGCAGCAAATACTCTAACCTGTCAACAAATGTTTAGCAGTATGATCATGACTCTATAGCAGTGTTTCTCAATCTTGGCCTTTTAAGATGTGTGGATTTCAACTCCCAGAATTTCCCAGCCTCTTAACACTGCTGTATGGGCACCAATTCCTATTCCATTTTTATATTAAAGTTTATTACCACAATCGTTATATTTGATAAGTTCAAATTTTCACAGGAAAATTTCTTTGCCATTATTTTTGTGTTTGCTTACTTACAGAAATCAAAAGGTTTTTTAAATAAAACATTCAACACTTTTCTAATGAGGCAGAATACATCGTGGGATGTGGGAAAAATACATATAAATATTGAAACATTATTCCTGCCAGCATGGAAGTATTAGCATCTGCAGTTATCTTGCACATGCATCATTCTTTTGCTCTAAACATCAGCCAATCTGGAAATGTATGAAATGTGATCTTATTCTTGAATGTAGGACGACTAAGCAAACCAATCACTCAACCCATGCTATTTTGAATGTATTAATAAGAGAATACATTTAGGGACAGCTAGTTAAGCACTCACACAATCTAGTTTGTTTATACATGTAAAGCATTGTCCACAACATTTTTTGGATTTTCATCAGCATTACCCCAAAAATAATCTTGCTATGAATGGGACTTGTAAGTAAGAATTATGTGCTACATATATTTTGAAGTAGCATTAATTTTTTTCTCCTCTTAAGAAAGATACAGAGAAAAATGTTCTTGAATGAAACTTGGTGCTACAACAAGTGCAAGGTGTTGCTTCTGTCTCATTCATGGTGACGAGAGACATTCAACACATGACATGATGCCATCATGCAGAATGACAAGATCATGCTTTGCTTGGGAGAGGAGAAATGTAGATTTGAATCCAGCAGCATTCTTAATTCTTCTGGGACATCAAATTTAATCTAGAGTGCATTACTACTATCACTACTACAACCTCTGTAGAGTTCAAACACATTTACTGTAAAAATACCTCTGTTTATTATTTTCGCATAGAGAGAGAGCATGATGGCTAAAATTGAGAGGTTTTCTCAAAGCAGCTTAGATTCACCATCAGTATTCCTTAATCTAAACATGTTAAGATACTTCAACTGTGTTATAATATACTTCGTAACTTCTGAAATGCACTAGATTCAAGAAATAATAATACATATTAACATTCTTCAGAATACTGTTTAACTTTAGGATAGCTATCGTTTAAATTCTTCCTCTCTCTCATGAATGGTAATTTTCTTATTTTTTTCTTGATATATTATAGCTCTGTGCTGTAATTGTTTGATTACAAAATTTTCAAAAGCTACAGGGATTACAATTTAAGGTTGATTAATTGTTGCTAATTTTCTTCCCGAGAGGCATTTTGCATGTACATACATACAAACTGAAGTGTTAAAATAGAATAAAAATGAAAATTAACTTTTTAAAGCTATAGTCAGTTGCTTGGGAGAAGGCCTACTGAATTGAGTGAGACTTATTTCCCAATATAATATGATTAGAATTTCTTTATGCAAAAAGCACAATGGGAGTTGTTTTATTGCAATAAAGATGTAGCCATTAGTTTATTACAAATTCAATTTATGTTATGACATTTAGATTGTAGAAAATGTAAAAGGATGTATATTCTGATAATTAACATTCATGTTGACTTATATATGTCCATTTCTCCACTAGCAATCTACAGCATCTTCATAGCAGTCCCCAAGGAAAGCATGAAAAGCTCATATTCATTTTTTTGCTATTTTGGTACAAAGATTCTAGAAAAAACTATACAATAAAAAACAAGTGGAAAAATGAAGTGTTGGACAGTCAGTAAATTTCACAGTAACCAGCACTCAAAAATAATTCTCCAAATCATATTATTATAAAGCTGTTATCATTCTTACGTGTTTTAAATTGTAAAGTGACACACATATGCTTATGGCTAAAATGGAGCATTATCAGATGATGAATTGCAGGGATCAAACAGGTTATACAGTACAGCTAGAACATCTAGCAACATCTTCTGAAACAGTATATTTAAATGAAGGCATTTCACACGTTCACTTAAAGTAACAAAGCATAAATTAATTGAGCAATGTATCTGGAGCCATGTACATGCATCTCTGATTCATTCATGTCATTATTGATATTATTCCTCAATTCTCCATAATATTTTCTCTGTTGAGCAAATTTACTTATAGTTTGAATAAGTGTAGAAGAGGCTCGACAGTACCTGAGTAGTTAAGTTACTATAATTATGTATAAGAGATTATATATGGAAATATCTTACTTGACTGTGTTCTTCTAGACAAATGGATCTAAAATTCCATTTTTCAGACAACAATTTATTTATTTATTTATTTATTGAATTTATATACCGCCCTATCTCCCTTACGGGACTCAGGGCGGTGAACAGGCGATAATAAAAACCATGATAAATATAGGCAGTTCTAAAATCAAATTAAATAACGGGCCTGTTCTAAAAACACACCCATACAAAAACCCCCACTAAAACATAAACTACGCCAGGCCGGCCGCACGGAATAGATGGGCCTTCAGGGCTCGGCGAAAAAGGCGCAGGTCTGCAACTGTACGTAGGTCGGGGGGTAGGTCATTCCAGAGGGCAGGAGCTGCCACAGAGAAGGCTCTCCCCCTGGGGGTCGCCAGCCGGCATTGTCTGGCCGACGGCACCCTAAGGAGGCCCTCTCTGTGGGAGNAGCGTCACGATCCAGAAAGGGGCGCAACTGGCGTATCAGGCGAACCTGATGAAAAGCCCCCCTGGCCACGGCTGTCATATGGTCGTCTAAAGACAGCCGAGTATCCAGGAGGACGCCCAAGTTGCGGGCCCTCTCCGCGGGGGCTAATGACTCGCCCCCGATAGCCAGGGATGGAGCCAACTGGCTATGTCGTGACGCCAGAAACCACAGCCACTCGGTCTTCAATATCAATTGAAACCTGTTTTTCTTTTTTGTAAGTAGAAACCAAAGTACTATGTATACTTTTGATAAAAAATACCAAAACAGAAAATATTCATATATTTAATTTTCATCATTAATCTTATCTTTATTCTCTGCTAAGTGTCACTATTTAAATAGAATCTGCATTCCGTAGTTCAAAATTATTGCCTTTTGTCATATCTGTTTGTAATTATTGGTAAGCCAGAGCATACAGAATGTTACAAGCACAATTAAATGTACTCTTTTAATCATAAAGAGAGAAATTCAATGTATCCCATCCATTACAAATTCTATTTGAATACCCAGCTGTATATATGACAGCGGAAATCTCCATTCCTATCATAACTCCAGTCCCCCATGCAAAATCTGCTTTAAAAATTGGGAGTTATTTAGGATCAGAGTTTGAAGTATAAAAATGGTTGCATTAGTATTTTGACATCAAAAAGGGTGAGCAAATATTTGAGTTTGTATAAATTGAAATAATCTCAAAAATTATTAAAATTATTTTAAATGTATTGTAATTAAATGCAATTCTGAAATTATGGATATCAATAACTTCATCCTTTTCCCTTTTAATGTCATATCCAATGATAACAAATTAATTTAAAAATATTGATGAGCTTTATTTTTTAATCTGATCTAGCAAAACAAAGACATTGTCTTAATCTGTTTTAGGTTTTTCCCTCCTTAAAATTAACAAATTTGCTTTGTTTCTTTCAATGTGCAAAGTATGCAAAATATTTTAGTAGCTTCTGAGGACTAGTTCAAAGGGCATTTTTACTGGTACTGCATACAAGATATATATTTTAAAGTATTTATAACTAATCTTACCACACATTCATTCAGTACAATGAAGCATTTAGAGTGAAAACTGAATGGAAAGAAACAGAACAAGCAGTGCCAATTCACAAATATGTGCAAAATGTCATGCTGGAAGATTAAAAATGTTCCACATACCATGAACAGGTACAAAACCACTGCAATTTAGACAATAAAAAAGTTCTTGAGAAAATAATAAAAAGCTAAAAAATATTATGCACAAGCTATTTGAAAGCACACAGAAAAATTCCCAACAATGCTCTCTTTATTACAAACTACTGCTGATGTTCACTAGCAATCTTATTGTTTCATGTAAACTGTTGTAAGAGAATCAGCTGATAAATTACCCTGGGTAGTTAACAGTGGCAGTTAACACATAATGCTTTGCCAAGATGACATTAAAATTAATCCTGGAATAAATCTGAAATTTTATAAAGATGTCAGAACAGGTTAAATATTCTTACCTTTATATATGATTGAATATAGTGATCTAATTTTTCTTCATGGAACTTGGCCACAATATCAGTAAAGACCCTGTATTGATTGAGCAGATAAAAAAGATGGCAGTTTCATTTAACAAATAATACAACTAAATGTAAGCAAGTCTATTTAAATTAGTTGTTGTTATTATTATTATTTTAAAAAGTGGCCCTATTTTACAGTCTAAATGCACAGAATGTTTCCAAATGATGTGTAAGAGCCTTGGGTTCTAGGTATTTGCCTTTCCTTCTTGGGTGTTGAATTATGCAGTGTATGTTATTCTCTAAGCAGAGTAATCTAATGGTTAAAGTTCTAGTGTAGGAGTGGGAGATCTGAATTAGGAGTTCTAATCCTGATTTAGGCACAGCAGCTTGCTGGATTTCTTTGTCCCAGTCATTCTCCCTCACTTCTAGAAACAATAAACCAGTTCTAAACAATACTTCCAAGAAAACTGCATAGATTTGCCCAGGGATATGCCAGGATTAAAGACTGACTTAAAGTCCCATAAACACATTCACATAAAGGCTACTCTGCTGCTTCAAACAGATTTCCAAAAAATTCTGGGGTTAACTTTTCTTAATCTTGAAGTTACTGAAGACAAAAGAGAAGTCCATAATCTTAATATACAGAACCCATTTCAAGCTTCAAAATCCATTCTAAAAATATTTGGCCTTTTTAAAAACAAACTTGCCATCTCTCTGAACTTAAAACTTGATTAGTTGGACTATTCTGAAACTTAACTAAATGAATGCTGAAGAAGTCTGTTATATGGAAGACCTGTTTAAAATCACTTGTCACATTCTGATCAAATCTTTTCCTATGCATGAACTTTTTTATGTGATTGAAATCGTTATACAAGCCTAGGAATATCACCCAAACTTTTGAATGTTCTCTTTGAAACCAACACTTAAGGTTAAGATGGTTTGATCACAATTTAACAGATTTCAATAACTGCTTCATAAGGCAAACTAAATGAGAAGAAAAAGAAAGTACAACAACAAATACCTGGTCATAGCAGTTGTTACCTCATCCTCTTTGTTTTGTATAAGAACCCAGAACAGCTGATTCAGAATCACAGGAAGAAAATTCACAATGACATGGATCTTCTCAATTTTAAGTAAATTCTGATTAAGAAATCAAGCATGAAACAGAGAATAATGTTGTACATTTCCATGAATGTTATAAACTCATTTAAATCAGAGGAACCCAGGTGGCAGCATTGAGCTAACCTACACAAAGTCTTGGTAAAGCTAGTAGGCTGGAGGTAGTGATCCTGGACTAAGAGACCACCAGGAAATTCCAGGGGATTAGACTAGTTGGGGATGTTTTAGAAGAAAATAAATGAAATGACAAACCATTTCTATTTTGTTGTCATAAAAATTACATAGAAGTAGTTAATTGTGAATAAAGTCGGACTTGGCGGAGACTTCAAATATATTTCAAACTAATAGCAGTTTAGCCCAAGTTACATATAATTCAACCTTCATTTTAAATAAGAACATGGAGACAGTTACAGAGTTAGAATAGTTAGAATGTACAACATGGATAAGAGATCTGGGTTTGCCCTTGCTTTGATCATACTGCTTTAACTTTACCAGATTTAGACTTCAAATATAATTATTGTAGTTTGTTTTGGGTCAGCAAAGTAGCCATGACCAATGTCTTTGTTAATTTAAATTAATGGAATCTATTTTTTGAGCATTTTTAGGAATTGGAGAGTCTGAAATGGCCTTGGAAGAATACTAGTGGCACTTATTTATGCAATCATAATATCCTTGGCTTTTTAGGTTGCTAATTTCTTTCTAGGCAACATTCAAATGGTGGACAATAGCATTCAAAACTGTTATTGGTTGAGTCTAGGTTACTTTCAGGAATATGTCTTTTGCCACTAAATGGTTTGCTCTCTTAAGAACTGACTATCTGTTAAATATGCAAATAATATCAACAAGTTATATTAGATCGTTCTCTTAGATAGTTTGCTATACATCAAAATCTTATGTTCTGTAAAGTATATTTACAAAGATAATGTTAATATCTGGGTGATTATGGGATAGCAAAAAAATGCTTTTGGGGCCTGCTTCTATTTCAATTTATTATACTGATTGAAAATTGTTTACAGCTATCCTAGGAGACATAATTTCCAAGAGATTACTTGGAACAATACCTATTTGAGCCAGCAGCATATGATAAATTGACCATCTAAGAAGGGTCAACTACTATCAGTTATTTATTTGCTTTGAAAAACCAAAGAATGTAACATAATGGTTTGGGTCTAGTTCTATGATTTGCAGGACTGCACTTTTTGCATACCCTGTTAAATTAAAACATAGAAAAAGGAATCAAGAAGATCTCTTCAGTATGCACCCTTATCTTAAGCTACAATGGCATTGGTTGTATCTTTTAAATCATGATTAGATAAGTAATGCTAAAATTACTGTACACATTATTGTGTAGAATAATATGGATGCAGAGTTCATGATCCAAGAAAAAACAATGCTCAGTCATGACAACAAGAAAAAAAAATCCTTATTAATAAAATAACAAAAATGAAAAAAATATGCAACCCAAATGGTGCTGACTGTTTTTATAATAAACATTTTTCTGGTGATCTATGCTATACTCTGGAATGAGAAATGAGATTTTCTATTTTAAAAGTTCATATTATCAATAATGAACATAGATATATAGAAGTTTGTAAATAACGTTTACATGCTGGGTTTTAGGTTAATGTTTATTTTTATGTTCAGACAGTTTTCTTTTCAGCTCTCTGCACTCTTCAGCAATGTATAATTTAGCATTATACTAACAAATGCACACAATTAAAAAGGAGAATTAAAATATACAATACTCATCCATTAGCACGATCGATACCTACATAATTTCTTATTTAACCTACCTTACAGGAGATGATAAAACTTGAGGTAGGTGGCTGTGAGAAATCTCTTTTTCTTTTCTGGCACTGTAGAAAAAATCTATTCAGATATGGATCCTATAGCAAATGTATATAAAAAAATAGTGTAGTATCAACAAAAGTGGCATGCAGTTCTAAAAAATAACTGTGCAATAATAAGCAGATAATATTAAAAGCAAAATCAGTTCCTTAAGAGACATTTTTCAATAATTCCTTAAAATACATATTTCAACTTTTGGTACAATCTAAGCTTAATTTTCCATTCTTTTTTCCATCAATCAGTCAATATTTAAAAATCCAATGTGGTATTATATCAAAATCTGTACAATAAGAATAATGATGATCTATAGAACAACACTCTGCAGTTTGTCTAAATAGAGTGTTTAGGCTTGTGTTTCAATGAGTTATGTTAAATACTGATCTGAGGCCTGAAATAATAAGGAGCTCCCCTTAGACATATGCCATTGTACATATTTACTTTCTAAAAACATGATCAAAATCTTGCAAGATTTCCAAATCTTGCAAAACTGATTGCTATCAAATGAAGTTTAAGAACACCAAATTCCGAAAGTTGTGAAAGTCAATACTTCCTGAACCTAGATAATATAATGTAATTGTAATTATTATTAAAATAATGGTAGGTTTTTTAAAAATAAATAAATAGGGCAGCTGTGCCATTAAATGAAATTGTACAAGGGCATATAACAAAGGTTATTGACCTTTAGGCTAATCCATCTATTCAGAAGTCTTCAATTCTTTGCAGGATTACTGGATCCTGTTTGTTAAAAAAAACAAATTTTATGAATATTGAAAAGTTAGATAGATTGGAAGCTCTGACAACTGATAATTTTGTCTTTTGTTAGAATTCTAATATATGGCTCCAAAAATATAGCCATGGATTGTTTATTATTTTATTGACATTCTAAATATGACTGTTTTTTGCTGAAAATATCAAATATGCCAGATTTAACCTAAAAGCCTTTATTAAGGTTAGTATGCTGTCAGTATGTTGTTTTGACTATTTAAGGATAATCTGTCCTAAAACTTTCTATAAGTATCACATTGATTGTGATTTCCTATTTCAGAATGGCTAAAGGTAGAAGCCAAAATATTTTATTTCTTTGGAATCCAAATAAAAAATTCTGCATGGCTCTCACACACAGACGTTAACTTTTTTTTTTAGTTTGCATTTCTTTCACTTCTACTTTTTCTCCTTAACATAGACAATGTTTTACCTGAGTGTAAACAGTGGACACAGTAAACAGTGACACTTTGAAGAGTGGCTTTCCTCCATCGACCCACTTAATATCACTTCCACTCTGCTGTGAAAAAAGAAAAAAGTGGAAATGAGTTCTTCTAGCTTATGAACCTATTTTATGCTTAAAATACTAAAAATATTTCAGCACTAACATAGTATCCTCATTAGCATCATAATTTATAGATTGCATTAGTTGTTGTTTCTCTCTCTCTGTATATAGCAGAATATATTTTATTTATTGGGAAGAATTTCACATTTTGTGTAAGGCCATCCTTAATAGCTAGAGTTTTCAAAAGTTCTGTTCAGTGAGAAACCTATTTTTCTTCCAACAAATCACAGTCAAGAAACATATCATGAAATCAAATGCTTTTGCAGTATGGGAATAAACAATGGAGATATGTGTATAATCATACAAATTTTTCTTACCCCAATTCTAACTAGAAAGTCAAATTGCTCAATGCACTACAAATAATAATTCCCTGGGCATTTCAGACCTGCTCCAATTTCTAAAAATGTTCAAAAAATAGATTCCATTACATTGTATGCAAAGTAGATTTGATGGTGCATATGTGCCTAATTCATTCAAACTGAAATCGTGTATTTATTTGCAGATATTGATAACAAACAGCAGTCCATCATGAAGTTACAGAGATGTATTGGTTATAAATAAAAGCTCAATAAAAATAGGTGTCTTCACAATGCCAGTTATTGCCAATGGGCTTGGGGAATCCAGAGTGGGTAGGAGATTGTCAAGTGCCTTGTTTGATTGCTTATTGTCGCCAGGGGTGGGGGGTTATTATTTTTACTCTTTTTATATTGGTTTTTTATTTTTTGTAAGCTGCCTAGAGTCATTGAAAGTAAGTGGCCATATAAATTCTTAAAATAAAATAAAATAATAATCATTGCAAAATATGAAAGAAAATCAAGTAATCTAAACTGCATGAAAAGGGAAGATATTTTCATATAACATTATAAACACTCAGAACAGTATATTTATAAGAAGAGACGTATGTATCAATGCATTTATTTATTTATTGTCAGAAATATTTTTTGCTCAATTCCAATCAAAGAACTCAAATAAGCAAGGATTCAGATATGCACAAAATCCTATGGCTAACATGCTATGTATGTGACAGAGCTTCAGAATAATTTTACACATGACACTTAATGTCATTAACATTAAAGCACAAGATTGCTTTACAAGGAATAAAACAAAGAAGAAGTAAGTAAAACACAACACCTTCCCAACTGCAGGATCCTGAAGATTTAAATAAGAGGGAGGTAGAATGGTTGCCACTGGTATGCTATGTTCTCGAGATATTAGTTGATCATCTTTCAGCAAAGGCAGCCAAGCATATCCCACTGTATTGAAAATAGATGTTAACACTAAAACATTTTGATTTATTTATATAAAGAAATAACAGTTAACAGAAAACAGAATATCTCAAGTGCTTGACCTAGATCAGGGAGAGAAAGTATATAACAATAATACAGACAGTGAGTATTTGAGAAAAAAAAATCCAGTATAGGTACCTGAGGTTTCCAGGGCCTCTTTCTTTTTGGTATTAGCTTTTGCATTTATGTCACAGGTAACATGATAAAATGAAAACAGAATATGATGTTTCTTATGAAGTTTTGTTGGCAGCTCAATTTTTATCTGAAATGTAAAACATTACATCCATCTTAAGTGTTAACTGAATGAAAGCAAAGAGAAGATAGGAGGTCCTAATTCTGATCTTGAACTATTATTATTCTATAGATGCTCTTAAAGGCCAAGAAGATCAAAAGGAATTCATTACAGATAATATATCAGGATTGCCAAGGATAATATATTACCAAGATTAGTTTGGCATAGGAGGGATAGGGAAGGGGAACCTCCTTCCTATGTAATGTGCTTACTTGGGCTTCAAGAAAGGCACCAGTCATGATCCCATAAGTAATGTATTTACTTGGGCTTCAAGAAAAGCACCAGGCATAGTGGAGTATCTGTAGTCAAATAAGAGACTCTGATGGCTTTCAGAGTCACTGCTCTGCAGTAAGTAAGATCCTGTATATTAAACTGAGCTCTTGATATCAAATGGGATTGCTGTTCTGAAATAACCTTAATGCTGTGTAATAACTAGACCTGCTGTCATTGGGTATGAAGACAAGTGGCTTTGGAGTTATGGTTTTTATAAGGAAGCCATGGACTTGACATAGCAGGGATCACAACTTCATAAAATTTTTGTCTTTGGGCAATAGCAATGTCAGCTGCCTATGGGAATCACTCTCTGTAATTGCTCTCCACTAGAGGAAGACAGGATCTGTCCGATCAGCCCATCCCATGTGCCTGATGGAGCCTGGAGGTTTCAAATGGAGTTTGGGCTTGTTCTCAAGTCTCTGATACATAGTGTGAGAGGTCTTGTTCTCTACTTAGAATTGACAGGGAATGGTAGTTATAGCCCCTCTGCCTGTGGATCCTGTGACTCAAAGTCTCTAGAACACTACTTCAGAAAACAGCACTTGTCCTACCAAACACATCTAAGAGCCTTTATTAAGGACTACCTCATGTGAAAATAGTGGCAAAACATAAACATTGTTCAGCTCCTAACACATCTACAAATAATTAGCTGGTAGATCTGTTTAGGGTGGCTCAGATCCTCTTGGGGAGATAAATCCCCGAAGATCAGTGTGAGAAGTATTCAAACCATGTGGTAAATAAAGTTACTTGTATTTGGACTATGGCTCTGCAGCACCTTTGGTATAATCTGTAGTATAACCTGCTAGAATCTCTGGGGAGATTTGAGTCTCTTGGTCTTGAGGAAATGGACAATCCTCAGAACTGTAAGCTCAGTTACCTATATACTAGGCTCATAATCTTGCCTAGGAGGTGAAGTATGGTGAGCACAGGCAATGGGCAGTTGTTCCTTGAGCAAGTATGTGATCCCATCAGCCTTAAGGAACCAGTAATCCAAACCTTGTTCAAGAAATCATCCTATATCTGGATATTTTTTGTCTAGTTTTCAATTTTCTCTTTTAGAGAAAGGTTCTGGAGAAGGTGTTCAGCCTACATTTTCAGAGAGATCTGGAAGATATTGACTATTTGGACTCTAGATGCAGGCCTAGAAATAGTACTGAGACTTCAAAATGGTGATGGTATTCTTGCCGACTTTGATCTAGTAGCAGCTTTTGATAATATTAAATATATCCTTCTGATTTAGGGGTATAGGAATAGAAAGGCATGGTGTTGCAATGCTTCTTTTCCTTCTTCCAAGGTGGTCCATTCACTTCAGTATGTGGAGGAAAAGATCAAATCCTAGGCACCTGGCTTTCAGGTTTACTTAGCACTCTATCTTCTTCCCACTCCTATTTAACATTTACATGAAATCATTGAACTCAACCAGTCCTGGGATTGTATGATTCTGTTCATGGTTGCTTGTTCCCTAGTCCACCCTGTCTGTATAACT